CCTAAAATTTTATTTCTGCTGTTTATCATTAATATCACTTTAACGTGTGTCAAACACTGATTGCTTCTACTACGTGGTATATTTTCACTTTTCATGAAGAATGTTTCTTGTCAAATCATAAAGCATATTATAATTCACTTCCCAGTCTCAGTCCTATCTTACATTGTGAAGTATGCATAATAATAGACCTTAATATCATAAATATGTAAATCCTGGTTCATATGCAAATTCTCCCTCATCTCCTGCTCTCATTACTATACACTTATCAATAACAATCTAGCGATACATAATGTACCCCAAAGTGAGCAATCTAACACGATCAAACATAAAATCCCTATTTAAAAAACTTGGGTTATAAATCCTAAATGTCATTTTTTGTTATTAAATCTAAAAAGTTAAGGCCCTATGTAAATAAAGTTTTCCTCCTGTGCATACACTTTCCAATCCTTTGTTCAAATAAGCTATTAAATTTCCAAGCTTAGCTCTCTCACTTTCTACATGTGACAGACAAAACAAACCATAACATTCTCTGTTTTCTTGTTCCATTTCCATTTAATAACTTTCTATGCTTCACATATTTTATTTAGCTGTACAACTGTACCACTTGTATGTACACCCTACTTACTTATACATATTAATCCTTATAAAGTCTCAGCACGTCTAGATGATGATCCATACGTTTAACGATGATTACATTACTGACAGTCCAATAGGCTTATGGGATACTGCAATAAAAAAATGTAAACTTCCATATCTGGCTTGCTCACATAAATGTATGATACTCATTTTGACCATCCAGCAGTCCTGTTATATTCATAATGCTGGTATTTATCATAAGTTTGTGTTTTTTCTCTCAACAAATGTATACATGCATTTTGATTTTTGAATAAGTGGTTCTTGTTGAGATATTCAAATTGAAAAACTGAAATCCACTAGCTACCAGCACTGGTACTGTCTAAATAAAAATAAAACCTCAAGTCTCTGATGAAACTGTTGCTCTACTGGTTTGGTCTATGTTATGTTAAAGGAAAAGTACAACCTGGACATGTAGCTATGGCAACACCAATGAATAGAACTGGAATCCTTTGTATATTCTATAACCAAATTTTGATGAAAATTTACCAAAAAATGGCGAGGAGAAGCCTGGAGAAAATGGGGACTTTATCATGATGCATATCGCGATATTTTACTGTCATACTTTTTTCATCAAATTTGTATTTATATTTTTGGAAAGAAAAAATTCTCTTATCATAACATGCATAATGTGAAAGGATAAAGTTGTTAAGTATTACTACAGTTGACAAATACATTATGAAACATTTAATAAGCTCTGAACACAATAAAAACAACAGAAAATAAATTTGAAAGGTAAACCTAAAGTGAATAGAAATAGCATAAACTGCTTTGTTTTATAACATGATACACAGTTATATATTTTCGTCCTGCTGTAAAGGTACTTTACAATATTTTTTTGTAAATGTGACATACCAGTATATCCTATATTCTTACATCCTAGTAGTAATTATAGTAAAATGGAAGTACTTAGGGGAAATCTCTCAAGGTATCAATTTCAGGAGAGCTATTGACAACAGTCGTGGGGTGTGTTTTGTTGCAGAAATAGTAAAAGAATATTTAGGAATATATCATTAGAAACATTTTGAGATGGCAGCTTTAAAATACTGAGATATAACTGTCAAACCATGCACACTTTGTCTGTGGGTAAATCTAATAAATAAACAGTCACGTTTTTCAATGGGTGGATCTGTAGCTCTCTGGTCATCCATCCTAATTTTCTCAAACCAGTGAGGTTACAAATCTGCAGATAATGATGATTGATGAGACAGTGTAAGACTGTGTAAGCTGAGGTATGAAGAGACAGATCTAAATGAATCCACTGAAAACTATATCTGCACTCATCCCAACTGTTGTACTATCAAACATATCAATTATAATATTTCAAGGCAAGAAAATGAGGGACTTAAATATAAGAGTTAGATTATAACGAGGATAGAATGTGCAATGAATACAAAGTACATATCTTAATTAAATCATGACACATTAAAGCTGAACATGATTCGTAAAAGCAATGTGTCCGCCATTTTTGTTCGGATTCTCGCTATATCTGAGGACCCCTATATAAAGGGCCTGACTTGGACACTGTTCAGTATGATCAGTCGACACCGGTGTAGACGGATGTATGCTACACAGCACTCGGTAGCGACAAAAATAACTGTGATACCTCGTCTAATGTAGGAAAGTAAGATAAAAAGAAACTTACAATTATAGTTGTACAGTTCAGTGAAGTGTACAAACAAACACAGATACACGTAACTACAATAAAATGTAAACAAAGGTAATGCAAGATAACCAGCACGAACACGGGTCGCCATTCCACGCCGATACCCGTGACAATAAAGCAGTCAGGTGTAACGAATGCGAAGAGTATACCCTGGTGTTGATGTATCGTAGATATAATATCGAAAATGGCGTATGCCTATTTACGAGTCGTGTTCAGCTTTAAGCCAGGACAAGGAAGCAGATGCATATCATCTTTATGCTTTGCTCCCTATTTAAACCTTTTTATTCTCATATAGTTGTCTGCAAGTTGCCCTTGCACTGTCATCTCTTAGCATAGAAGCTCCTGCCCCTACCCTCCACTCTCCCTTATCTTCTTGTTCCCTCCCTAAAATGAGGGATTATGGGACTGAGTGCCCTAATCATGTAATGGCACAATAGCTGAAAATCTCTAAAAAAGTCTAAAACTATTTTTCCAGATAACTATTTAACACTGAAACATTTAATCCAATTTATCTGGATAAAAAGTTTTAGACTTTCTTAGAGATCAACCGGGTTCAAACGCAGTTTTGAATGAATAAACGAATCCGGTGACACAGATATTGCAAGTAAGTGTTCTACCGTGATGAATGTTTTTTTAAGTCAGCAGAATCGGTATTTTTAATCGCATTTCCATTGCAAAACAACATCTGTGCTTCCAAAATATGTCTATGATAATGCATCAATCCTAAAACACCGATCGAAGTGGGACCCGGTTTTGGTTCTTCATTTAGTCAATTTCTGAACTGCTTTTTTTAGGCCTTTCGTAGAGAAGTTGAGGGGGTATTAAAACGAGCCATCAATGTCTCAATAGAGAATATATTAAGAGGCAGATCTAAGCTAAAATTGAATAGGTATGCAGTAATACACAACTGATTGCGCTCGCCCAAACAGTCGCACCATCAACATATTGCAGCTGTTAAAGTATGGCTTATAGGTCCAGGATTCCTATCAGAATTGACAGAAACAATGCCAAATCTTATATCGTATCCAGAAATCAATGATAATAAACACTTGGGTGAGGTTGTTATAAACAAGGAGGTCCAGTGCAATCTCTGCATTTACTATGATTTAGATTAATACTTAAATTACTTCGCTCTATTTAGACACTCAAAGTGGATTGATTTAGCTATTCTAATGCAAGTTTACACCAGTTTTTTCGACCTGGTTAAACAGTAAATAACACAGTAAACATTGAATAAACCTATAGTACAGTTTACAAACCTTCACTTTAAGGAAAATCGAATTACTAAAATATATCCAAAAGAAAATATACAGTGATCAAAGGAAATAATGTGTCAAAATCTTATTTTGCAGCAAGTTAAGGGAAATGCAAAGGGGGTTTCACACAAAAACTTGTTGACATTCCTGCGTTTTCAGCCAACTTGCACCATACGGAACCGGAAGTGCATGGATTAGACAGAAAATATTATATTCGGAAGAAAACGGATTATAAAACTGCCAGTTGAACGTCAATCAATTATTATTTATATCAGTAAAATGTGTTTGTAAGATTAACTTTGGTGTTGTAAATTAATGCCAAGAAAATTTTTTATATTATCCAAAGATTTTATAAAGATTTACGCATTATCGAAAAATGTTCAAAATATATTCCGTTTTATCTGATTATTTTTCTGCCCTTCTGCATAATGTCAACAAAAATGTGTGGAGATGCCATGTGTCATTGGCACTGTCAAATTTTTAAGAATTGTTTGACTGTGCTATATTATGATGTCAGTGTTGACCATAACAGTAAAATATTTGTAGATTTGAGGTCTTTCTAGAAATAATTCATTAACAGGGCTGTTTTTTAGTATACGACCTTTTTCATGCAAATTATGTAATGCATCTGTAAGGAAGTTAAACGTGAATGGCCAAATATAACAAAATAGATCACATGTTTACAATCTACAAAAATAGAAAACGCTTATCAAAATGTGCAGTTAAAGAGAGACTTATGGATGCAGCCAGGTAGGTCTAAATAATTATAGTTATTGCATATTTAATTCCAACTTTATGGAATGTGTATACAATTTATATGATCTCAATATATAAGAAATAATTATAAATCTAGCATGTCCTTTTGTGTTAAAAGAAATTCTTTAACGTTAGTTGAATATGTGTAATCGGATCAGGTATCACTATGTAAATGCTATGTGTATGTAAAACTTAATATTTATGAAATGTCCACCTTCATTGATTATATACATGTATTTAGCGTTTGGGACCTTAAGTTTGTAGTGTGTGATGGATATGAGTACCTGATGAATTGCAAGGGAAAAAAATCAAATGGAACCCTTGTTATATTTCATAACTTGAAACTATTACAAAATAAACTGTATATATACACATGATACAGTCATGTGAATTAATTCCAAAATCACACGCACACATTTTTAGGAATGAAGATGCTGATCAATAAAAGAATTTAAAAGGAAGTGAAATTTGTATAATATGTTTTATGATTATTGGGAAGATATATATATATATATATATATATATATATATATATATATATATATATATATATATATATATATATATATATAGGTGTACTTGAATCCAGAAATCAGAGAATTCTCAAACCAAATGGCAGATGATTAAGATCATGATAAAAGAGTGCATGCAGATAAATGCTTGACTGACTGAAATATGGTAGTTAGAATATGTATGAATGTGATGACTTCAGATTCGTAATTCTCTCCGAGGAACCATATGGCATCCGAAGATTATTATTGTAAGTACTGTGCACTGGAGTCTCAAGGCTTGGATGATCCATTTACCTATCAGATAGACTCGGAGAAAAAAAATTATCGAGAGATTTTTCCTGAACTTCTTCATCAAGACTTTTATTCCAAATCTGAGTACATTTGTTCCAAACATCGCCATGGATCCGTGCACCATTTAGGCTTTGTTCAAAAGGCTGGTAAAAGTGGAAGTGTGAATGTCTCAAATTTTAAGTACAATATTGCTAATCCTGTGGCAAGGGAAGAAAAAAAGAAAGTTGATGAGAGGACATTGCACAAGCATGGGGAAGTAATTCCAAAACCTGGTACATGCAAGGCACCATCACCAGTAATGGACGTGGGTAATACAAAGTCACAAGGGGCATTAGTAAAGAGTTCTAGTAATAATGGGCTAGGGAGAGCGAGTCCCTCACACCGTCAGTGCTGCTGCTGTTCTGAATATCATCATCATACTTTTGAATCTCCAGAATTTTACATTCCCAGGGATGATACTTGCTCAAAGCTAGAAGAAACACTCTCAAAAAACCACGGTGAAGTGATATTAGCCAATGAAACATTCCTAAACATAAGCAATGCATTCTGGTATCCAAGCTTGTGTCTGAATCAGTTTTCTTCAGAATTTATTTATACAAACTTTGAGTCTTTATGGCCTGAGGAGAATGTGTTGCGAGACATTTTGCGAGACAGCATTCAAAACACAGTCTTGCGTTCTGCCATTCCTCAACTCACAAAGGTTGCTATAGTTTGTGGACCAGTAGATATGTTAAAATCTCTCATCTCTTTATCTTTAGTCAGTAAGTACAAAATATACAATTTTTTCTTAATGTTATTCTTAATTCTACTTAAGACATATTACCATTTGCTATTTTGTGTTTTATATAATCATACAGATTTTCAAATACAATATTGAGTATCTGATTATGTGCCCTGCTGTTGCATGTACCAATGTGTTTCCCTCCCTGCAAATTAGAAAATCAAATATTAATTATATTATAAGTAACTGTGACAAGTATCAATAGTCCTATTAAGCATCCTTTTTTTTGAAAAAATCTTTTGCTCTATTTAAACTGTTTTGAATTTTATAAATAAAAAAAATATTTTCTTTATATTCCTAAATTTGCTTTAAAAGCTTGTGAAAAACAAGAGCTATTTACATATAAAAAATTAAAAATACTCATTGCTATAGCAAAAGAAAGTCATATTTTTTTGCTCACTTTCATTATACATTTATTTTGTCACAGAATTTAACATTTATTATGTGCTTGATTTAGGACTTGATACCTCAATAGAAGAAGAGGCCGGACTCTTACATTATGCCTGTCTGTTCAAGAGACTGGATATCATAAGTTACTTAACCAGCATCGGAATCCACCCAAAACTCAAAGACAAACATGGTGAGGTTAATTTTGTTAAATTTCTTGTTTAAAGATCAGAGTACATTAAAATTACAATATATATATATATATATATATATATATATATATATATATATATATATATATATATATATATATATATATATATATATATATATATATATATATATATATATATATATATATAAAATAAAATTACAATATTGCATTAAACTCTAAAATCAAGCAGTATATATATACAAAATTATGTATATAACTCCAATCTTTTTCTGTGATGAACTGGTAAATAGAAAAGTGATATTTGATTACTTTGGGGAATGTCATGTGATGTGATTATCTGAATTATCACATGATATCAACATTTCAAGAGGATTGTTCTACAGTACCTCTTATTTAGTGCTTATTACAGTGATCAGTGATTCTTTACATCAATCAGAAATAAAACAACACAGCTTTTCACTTTGTATAACCAATTATTGTAAAACAAAAAGAACTTAAATATATCATGACTATCAGTGAAAGTCACAATTCTGTAAGATATCACTGTTAAAAAAACTGTTGAGAAAATAAAAAAAAGAAATATGAACAGTTACATGTAATTATGGCCGGTGTGTTAAAAAATTTAAATATTTCGAAAAATGATAATGGAGCAAAATGAAAAAAAAATCCACTCAAAACTTAATTGTATAATGAAAGCAGTGCTCATGCTGCTGCTGTTTTTTTTTTTTTTTTGCCAATGTTGCAAATGGTATATTTTTCATCTAAAGTGGCAAAAAAAATTAAATGTGGCAAAAATACACTTTATAGATATACAAGTACATCCTATAAACAATAACATAGACATTAAATCTCATTTTTTTTCTGTGGAATCATTTAAATTATTGGGGGCCAATTTTTGTGGACTACTTAAATTTTACAGGTTCATGGGGGCATAATTTTGTGTATTCTTTTATAACTACAGAAGGAAATATGAATTTGTAACCCTAGTTTATTAATTCATCATGATTCATGGAGGATGTTAATTTGTGGATGAGAGGTATCCATGAATTCCATGAAAATTGACCCACCACAAAATCTAATGATTTCACATTATTCAGTCATTTTATACAAGTCATAAAATGATTTCAAATGAGTCTAAATAGTTACTAATGTATGCATCTGACAGAATTCTAAAGGGACATGAAATAGCTTATCCTTTTATGCAGTTAGAAATTGGTGAATTTTTTTGGTTCCTTCTTTAAAAAAATGGTTCATTCATTTCATATACAAATATATTATTAGGGGATTTATTTACTAGCACTTACATAACCTCTTTCAGATTTTATTTCTATCTTTTCAGGAAATTTTGCAGATGCTTTGTGTTTTAGTTCCAAAATATATAAACATCTTCCCAACAAATATCAGCTAAGTCATGTCATGTGCCCCTCCCCTAAACTCCCCAGTGCACAGGATAGAAACGTCATCTTCACCCTGGCAAGGTCACCAAGGTCACTGTATGAGATTCAGAGAATGTTACAGGTAAAAACAAAAGGGAAGAATGAAATAATTCTGTCCTTGATTCACAATAGTTATACTTATTTGAGCCATTTTTTGATGCAATCAATTGGCCCTGAGTAAAAAGACATTCTCTTTGAATAAAATCAACAAGGTAATTGTTTTTTTCTTTTAATACAAATAGAGATATTCATTTCCAAACATATAATAATGAAGTAAGAGTTCTGTCAAGTGTTATCAATTTATTTTTCCCCAAAACAATTTATTCAGCTTAAAATGAGCACTGCCAGTTATGTAGTTATTTTATATTCCTTGTCTTACAGATGTTTGAATTCAATGTGAATACAGAGTGTGATGAGACTGGGAACTTCCTGATACACCTGGTCACTGAAACAGGTAAACAAAACAAAAAAACAGGTAAACAAAAACAAACATCATGTGATGGCAACCCTGCATTGGAAAACACGATTTGATGGATGAAATATACGATATGTAGCATACAACAGATTAAATATGATAAAGGATGCAGCGTGACATGACGTGAACCAGGTAGAACTTGTTAGGTGTTAACAGGTAACAAAAGGTTGATAAAAGAAGGGTAGCAATCAAGTGCAGATCTGTTACTGCGCAGTAGATCAAGTGGTTCCATGTAATGTGAGAGGCTTGTCACGTAAAAGGGGTTATTGAAAAAAAATCATACAAATAGATATATATATTTATAGGCTGATTTTAATTTGTAATTTTTAAACTTGTTTCCTGAAACATACATGTACTTTAAGCCCAAAGGAACTGGTCTAACTCAAAATACTTCAACTTTAATTACTCTATGGTGCACAATACTTTAGATACATCTTCCTGTTTGGGATTGTGTCTTTGGGTTGCCAATTCACATAATTTTTATTCAATCAATGTTCAGCTAGTTTAAAATCCAAAAGCAATTTCAAAATTATAGATGAAACAATTTGTCCTACCTACTCTATTAAGGTGACATGACCACATTTTGATGGATGTAAGCATGATTATATAATGACATATAGTTTGTTAGTTTAATTAATGTGCACATGAAAATCCCATTTGTTTCAATTCCTACCCATACCAAATCATTCTCACAATATGCTCATGAGCAGGTCACATGAGGGCTTACAAGATTTCCTCATGTGTGTTGCTCATATGAGTCATGTGTAATTTAACATGCAAATTAGGTGAAATGCTCACCTAAGCAAGATTTTGCACTTGAGCATGCTCATGTGAGGAATTATTTTTCTCAATTAGAATTTTGGTCACATGAGGCTCATTAGTCTCATATGCAACAATTACTCTCTCAAACAAACAAAAATAGCATTTAGATTAAAAATACATGTGTAATATATACATGTATACCTTAAAATATGATTCATCAATAATAGTGAAAATTATATGTTCTTGTCATGAACATCATGTAAAAAAATAAATGCATGTATGTTCAGTGAACTTCATTTTTCTAACTTAATTTAAATCAACCTAAATTTAAAATTAAATAAAAAATTAAAAATGAAATGAACAACTTGTACATACTACATTGTACATATTTCTTTGTATTAATCTTTTAATTATACATTTACATGTATATTTATGTCCAATACATATTAATACTGTTTAAATTATGAAAAAGATAGATAGATTCTCAATAGGTTAACAGTACATCCATGTAAATGCAAGTCCAGCCAACATTTTTGGACTGCACTAGATGGATTCAGAGTTGTCACGAGTATGCCAGTTTATGTGGATTTCTCTCCTATTGCTGAATGCATGGCAAGATACTTTGGTGTGAAATAAAAATTCCAGGAGAATTGTAAGAATTATCCTTTCATCAAGTTCATTTTTCTTGCATATCCTTTAAATGTCAGATCCAACTTAGAAGAGCTTGGTCTATATGTATTGGGGTATATGCAGATCCCTCAATCAGCAACTTTCAAATCTGTAAAAATTTTGTATTTATGATTTATTATTATTAAAGTTTTCAAGGTTCAGTTGGTCATGAAATGTCAGTCAATCAAATATTCATATACATCAATGTTATATGCTTTTAATGTACTTTAGGTATGCTAGGACAAATTTCCATGAAAAATTTGTGACCGCTTGCATTAGCATAAATTAATACATGTACCACACAGAAAAAAGTACTTCTATATATATTTTATTATATTACAATATACAGTTAAAATCGGTATCTCGAACACGTTTATCTCGAATACCGTGGATATGTCGAAGTGATTTGGAAGTCCCAAGCACTCAATATTTTAAGTATTTTACCCCCAAAATCTCGAACCCTTGGATATCTCGAAGTTTATTCTTGGTCCCATTGAGTTCGAGATAACGAGGTTTGACTGTATATACCTTTACATAGAGAGAGAGAGAGGGAGAGATAGAGATATTATAAATTCTTTGAGCTATTCACTGACTTTATAACTAATCATATATAGTTTTAAACAAACCTATTAGCCTTGTCAGAAAGAGTTTGCATATTGAGGGATGTATGATCCTATATCCAAAACTATAAACATTATTTACATTATCTGGTAATATGTACATAAACCGTAATTGAAGATTATAATTACTGATAACATATTGCATTTATATTTAAATTAAGTATTGATAATTAACACACAAACAGTACTGTATAAATCTATATACTTTTATACCCTCACACAACTTTGCAAGTTGATGAGATGAAGATTAGAAGCTCAAGTGTTGTTTTTTTTTATATTTTAAATACTACAGGATATGTATAGTCTTAATTTATTATAAACTACTGTAAAATTTTTTCTTTTTTTTCACTACTAACTTTCTTTTTATTTGGTGATATGATATTTGATAGGCTTAAGAATTGTTTCAGAGGCAAAATTATTGAAAATGTATGTTTATTGTTCTGTAACTTCCCAGATGTAATATTTAATATAGGTGTTATTCTAGTACAATTATTTGGGTTGGTTAGGGTCACCTCCTAGATAGTAAATATCTATCATTTATATCAGTTCATTATCTCGTGTGTACAAATTATCATGTTCAGTTACAAAATTCAAATATTGATTCTTAAACAAATAACCAGTGATAGTTCATAAATGAATAATTGTATATATTTGTATCAGAAGTAATGTATATAATAATATAATATGTGATAAGATATATACTAGTACCTATACTGTGTAGATACGGTGTATCGGTGAAGCTTCTCATTCCTTCTGGATTCTATCCAAATATGATACAGTTATTCACCTCAGTCAATATTGATATTTTTCTGGTGAATAACAAACCATATTCTTAAGTGAAAGAGTTCATAGTTGTATATTATGTCCTTATATAGTCAGGTAAAACTAAAATTATTAAAAAAAAACAACAACTAAAATTATTAAAGAAAAAAAAACTAAACTAAAATTATTAAAAAAAACAAAACAAAACTAAAATTATTAAAAAAAAAAAAAAAATCAGAACTCCTCATATGTCTCGCACACTTAAGAATGTTAAGACATCCGAGGAGTTCCGATTGATAAATTAAGCATCATTAAAGAAATTCATTTCTCAGCTTTGAGAGAAATGAAGGATTCTTTCATTTACTAAATATTGACTTTAAATAATCCAGGACTATGTCAGTTACCTCTGATCTACAGTCTCTGGCAGATACAGCATGCCGGCATAGAACTCGGTAACTCTGTAAAATGTATTTATGTTAATTATTCCAGGACTTTGTCAGCTACCTCTTATATACAGCCTCCGACATATACAGTATGCCGACATAGAACTCTGTAACTCAGAGGGTCTGACCCCCTTAATGATAGCAGCTGTGGAGGGAGCCAATATACTCTGTGATGTAAGAACTCCCATATCTGATATTTCATACTCAATATACTATATTAGCAACATTTATTTTTAGTTTTCCCTCCAAAAGTAAAAATTATATTTATAAATTTGAACTCTTTGATTTGAATGTGTTAAAACTCAGGCATGTAATTCCCCATGAGCTACAGCATGTTTTTAATCTTGAATCAAGGTCATGTTTCCAAGTTCAAGGTCACAGGACAAAGGGATTTTGAATTTATTATAGTAATCATGTTATAATAGAATTTTATCTTTTATTTTTTGTAGGTCCTTATATGTGTATTTGGAGCAGATCCCAATAAGAGTAATGTTCACAATGGCCGCACAGCGTTACATTACGCCACCCAGTACAATCATGTCAGTGTTGTAGGGTGAGTACAGTGTCAGACAATATTGTAATCAAGCGTTATATACCCAGTACAATCATGTCAGTGTTGTAGGGTAAGTACAATGTCAGACAATATTGTAATCAAGCGTTATATACTTAGTACAATCATGTCAGTGTTGTAGGGTAAGTATAGTGCCAGACAATATTGTAATCAAGCGTTATATACCCAGTACAATCATGTCAATGTTGTAGGGTAAGTATAGTGTCAGACAATATTGTAATCAAGCATTATATACCCAGTACAATCATGTCAGTGTTGTAGGGTAAGTACAGTGTCAGAAAATATTGTAATCAAGGGTTATATACCCAGTACAATCATGTCAGTGTTGTAGGGTAAGTATAGTGTCAGACAATATTGTAATCAAGCATTATATACCCAGTACAGTCATGTCAGTGTTGTAGGGTAAGTACAGTGTCAGACAATATTGTAATCAAGCATTATATACCCAGTACAATCATGTCAGTGTTGTAGGGTAAGTACAGTGTCAGAAAATATTGTAATCAAGGGTTATATACCCAGTACAATCATGTCAGTGTTGTAGGGTAAGTACAGTGTCAGAAAATATTGTAATCAAGCTTTAAATACCCAGTAATAGGAAACCACAGTCAAATTTATAATGTATATTTTGAGACAGTTTTTAATTAATGTTCAGTATGTACTGTTGTTTACCTTTAACACCTTTAAATAGAATCTTCAGCTAACAGCTGCCACTTACTCTTATGTGTTTGAAAAATTTGCTTAAGTAAATTTTTAATAGAAATGTTTGCTTTTAGAACTTTGATCAAGAGGGGAGCTGATTTCAACAAGGACGATTATCAAGGTCTGCGACCTGATGACCTCAATATCAGCGTGTATCACCATGACGATTGTCTGGACATCATTACATCACACAGAGCACAAAGAATCAAACATCTCTCAGATGTTATTCAGAGTGTAAGTTTATTACATTTTACCCAGAGCACAGAGAATCAAACACCTCTCAGATGTTATTCAGAGTGTAAGTTTATTACATTTCACACAGAGCACAGAGAACCAAACACCTCTCAGATGTTATTAAGAGTGTAAGTTTATTACCTTTCACACAGAACACAGAGAATCAAACACCTCTCAGATGTTATTCAGAGTGTAAGTTTATTACCTTTCACACAGAGGCTATTCAGTGTAAATTTATTACATTTCACACAGAGCACAGAGAATCAAACACCTCTCAGATGTTATTCAGAGTGTAAGTTTATTACATTTCACTCAAAGCACAGAGAATCAAACACCTCTCAGATGTTATTCAGAGTGTAAGTTTATTACCTTTCACACAGAGGCTATTCAGTGTAAGTTTATTACATTTCACACAGAGCACAGAGAATCAAACACCTCTCAGATGTTATTCAGAGTGTAAGTTTATTACATTTCACTCAAAGCACAGAGAATCAAACACCTCTCAGATGTTATTCAGAGTGTAAGTTTATTACATTTTTTAATGAGAAGATGTGGGTTTAATGAAGTAAAAATTTGGATCTTGCACAAGAAAATGTCAAAATTATAATTTTATAGTGCCATCGGTCCTACATAAAAAGTCATATTTATCTGTTTTAATTAAGTAACAGTATAGGCAGAGAACAAAATTTTCAATCGTTTAAAATGTGTATTTAGTTAAACATGTTTAAATCAAACAATGAAGCTGTAAATATCTATGTCAGTTGAAAACAAAGTCTTAAAGCAATTATACTAAATATGATGAATGCAGTATATGCGTGCATTGATTTAGTTTTTAGATTTGATGATTCAATGTCCTTGTTTTCGTTACAGGGGATGCTGAAGAAGACAGATCTGTGGGAGTCAGACACCAATGTAACTGATGAAAACAATTTCACTCTTTTGATGGTGGCAGCCATTTTTAACAGGTACATAACTTGTATTTTACAACCTCTAATATGCCTTAAGTCAGTGTATGATATTTGAATAAAAGATGATCTATTTTTGTTGTAGACTTGAGAATGTTAAAACCATTCTGGAAGTTAGTACAAACTCCATTAATGCTCAGTATTATCAGGTAAATATTATTAATGATTGGTATTATTGCTCAATATTACCAGCTAAAATCATTAATGCTCAGTATTTCTACAATGTAGGTAAAAACTTATCGTGCTCTGAATTACTTGGTGTAAATCATTAATGTTGGCACTAGCAGGTTAAAATCATTATGTATTGATACAGGATGTAAGACAGTTTCATTAATTCTTTAGAAATAAACTGCCATGCAATTAAATTTAATAGTGATGTTTTTGATATTTTTATTGAGGTGATTCTACAGAAAATATTAAGCTCACCTCGAGGAAGTTAAGCTGAACTTATGTCATAGCCCGATGTTGATGTTGGCATCCAAGTTAAAGTTTTAGGAGCAGATCTCATTCCCAAGTAACTATAAGCCCTACCTGGACCAAATTTGCATGAATCATGCATCATGGAATGTACATCTGAATTGTTTCAGAAGAAGGATCTGACCTACATTTCCAGAATGAGAGACCAGATGAAAGTTTTTAGAGGACATTAAAGTTTTATGAGCAGGTTTCATTTCAAAGTAATTATAAGCCTTATGATGACAAAACTTGCATGGATGATGCATTGGATGCTGGATCTGACCCACAATTTTCAGAGGAGTGACCAGGTTAAAGATTTTGGAGCAGGTTCATTCCCAAGTAATTGTAAACATTACCTTGACCAAATTTGCATCTATGAATGCACACTCCCAAACTGACTGGGGAGGTTGGACTTGACCTTCATTTTCTGAATGACTGACAGGTTTAAGTTTTTGGAGCAGGTTCATCCTCAAGTAATTATGAGTAACTATAAGCCTTATGTTGACTAAACTTGCAACAAACTTGCACAGATGATGTGTCTAGGATGCTCTCTACCAGACTGGCTTTGAATGCTTGATCTGACCCACATTTTCTGGATGAGTGTACAGGTTAAAAGTTTTGGAGCAGGTTCATTCCCAAATAACTGCAAGCCTTACCTGGACCAAAGTTGCATGGATGATGACTGAATTTGCATTACTAGTTATGCACACTATCAGATATATGCTTTGGAAGCTGGATCTGACCAACATTTACGGAGTGAAATGAACAGTTTAAGTTTTTGGAACAGGTCCATTTTTAAGTAACTATAGATTTAGACCAATACTTGAAAAGATGATGTATCAAGGAATGCACACTATCAGAACATTTATTTGGTGTGAGACTTTGCATTATATATTAATACATAACATTTTTGAGGTGAGTTTTGTAATATTTGATTTCTATGTTTCATTGAAGTGATTATACAGTAAAATTATTGATTACAAATAAAAGCAGTGTTTCATTTGATTTACTAAAGAGAAAATTGCTATTATCCTGTATACTTGTATATTCCCATGTCTTGCCCTTCGCAAATTACTTAATGACGGATATAGATTCAGATGATAAAGAGATAGAAAACTTTATACATTTTGAGTGTTTTTGATTTGGCTAACAGTGTGCTATCACCTTCACTGTTTCATTATTTAGCTGAGTGAGGATCCTGACAGTGTATACATCACAGGTATGACAGCTCTAAGTATGGCAGCCATGAGAGGAAATGCTGATGTTATTCAGCTCCTTCTATCGTAAGTTAATTGTACACATACCTTCACTCTTGTATAGAGTCCTTCTATCATAAGTTAATTGTACACATACCTTCACTTTTGTATAGAGTCCTTCTATTGTAAGTTAATTGTACACATACCTTCACTTTTGTATAGAGTCCTTCTATCGTAAGTTAATTGTACACATACCTTCACTCTTGGATAGAGTCCTTCTATCGTAAGTTAATTGTACACATACCTTCACTCTTGGATAGAGTCCTTCTATTGTAAGTTAATTGTACACATACCTTCACTCTTGGATAGAGTCCTTCTATCGTAAGTTAATTGTACACATAACTTCACTCTTGTATAGAGTCCTTCTATCGTAAGTTAATTGTACACATACCTTCACTCTTGTATAGGGTCCTTCTATCGTAAGTTAATTGTACACATACCTTCACTCTTGTATAGAGTCCTTCTATCGTAAGTTAATTGTACACATACCTTCACTCTTGTACAGAGTCCTTCTATCGTAAGTTAATTGTACACATACCTTCACTCTTGGACAGAGTCCTTCTATTGTAAGTTAATTGTACACATACCTTCACTCTTGGACAGAGTCCTTCTATCGTAAGTTAATTGTACACATACCTTCACTCTTGTATAGAGTCCTTCTATCGTAAGTTAATTGTACACATACCTTCACTCTTGTGTAGAGTCTGTGTCCAGATCAAGGATTTGTGTTGATAATTATCAGAATTGGTATGTTATGTTCAGTCTTATTTATGATTATCCAATATGGTATTCAGAACTCCAGGTTTTTGTATTCTTTATTGTCCATTGTAGGAAGGGAGCTAACCCTGTAATCGCAGACATAAAGCAGTTGTTTCCCCTTCATCATGCAGTGTTAAACAATCAGGAAGAGGCTGTAAAAACAATACTGGAGTTCTTCCCAACATCTTACTGGGTAAATCATAAAAGCTCTTACTGGGTAAATCATAAAACATCTTACTGGGTAAATTATAAAACATCTTACTGGGTAAATCATAAAACATCTTACTGGGTAAATCATAAAACATATCTTACTGGGTAAATCATAAAACTTTATAGATCTTTACTGGAGTTGTACTGGATGGTCAATTATAATTTTTTAAGTGTGGCATATAAATTGCTTCAGCACAAGTGTTTAACACAATTTTATTATACCCCACCGCAAACGAAGTTTAGGGGGGGGGGTATATTGGAATCAGCTTGTCCGTCTGTCTGTCCGTCTGTCTGTAGACGAGATTTTGTCCAGATCATTTTTTGGAAACTGTTGCAAGGGTTTGTCTGAAAATTTGTACACTTATTATTCGCCATATGAAGGTGTGCACCTGGTATTTTCATCATGATTGGATAATTCTTTTGCATTTTATAGGTGTTTTTTTCAATTTTATTATGTGGTTTTGTCCGGATCTGTTCCCAGAGACTATTGCATAGATTTGTATGAAAATTTGTACACTTATTATTTACCATATGAAGATGTGCACCTGGTATTTTCAACATTATTTGCTGATTTTTCTGCATTTTACAGGTGTTTTTTTTTTCATTTTTATTGACTTAGTCATTTTGGGTTCTTGTCTAAGGTTTGAGACATAGAATCTAGAACATCTGTACAAAAATGTGAAAGCTTGAAACTACTCATTAGAACTAAAAAAAAAAATCACGAAGTATTAAAAACAGTTTTTACATTACACAGCAGATAGTGTAAATCCATTTGTCCCTTGGGAGTAATGAGTGGACATGCATCCAGTTAAAGATTAATTAATGAGTTCATTGTGGGAAGCTGTTAGGGCATCTCTGATCAAGCAGGTCTTATCTGTATCTCCTGGGAATTGGGCAGAAAGAAATAAAGATCTCTGTTGTCTAAGTCTCTTAATTGTAATTTATGTCTGTCAAAATACATAGTTACTGGAACCAGCCATTTATTTTTAAAATGAGTTTGATATAAAAGGTATTAAGATCAATTTGATTTTGTATAATTAATTATGATATTTATGATATTTTTTTTTTCAACAATTAATTTGCAGAGTGTCATGTCTCACAAAGATGACAGATAGTTGCAAACTATTTTTTCAATGTAATAAAAAACATTAATTATTAGTATTGATGTTTTATTAGGCTGCACCTTAGTTTCATTCATTAAAAAAATATAATGAGTAATTAAATTTTCACTCTAAATGTTTAAGCAAATTGTGAACACCTCTCACATCTAGAAAACATTAGTGATTTGGTACTAGTACCTTCTCTGAAAAACCCAGCGGGGGGTATTTGTCCCTTTTGGACAGTTCTAGTTTACATTTTGTTACAGAAATAAACTTATTGTGTCTTAATGTACCTGAAAAGTGCTTGGGACAAGCCATAATATTATTAGTGTAATATATATTACATGAGAATATCAACTTACCTACACATCTGAGGGTATTTTCTACTCTTAATGGTAATTTATGAAACCAAAGCGATTACACTCCCATCCCAAGCAAGATTCAATTAGAGAACTTTTTCTTCTGATGAATTTTCACAAATATTTAAAGTTAATCCTTATTAATCACTTGCATCAGCCTGTTATTATACACACATATAAATTCTACCTCTAACCAGGGTCCAGTAAATGGGAGTATTTCAAAGTCTTGTTTTTGCAATATCATATTATTAAATGCACTTAATTTCAATCCAAAGAAATTAAACAAGGTACCGTTTTAATATTCAATAATATTTACACTCCTTCAGACTTAAAACTACAGTCAAGACATGTGAATTTTACAATAATGTTCTAAAACTTTAGTTGTAGTTTGATGTGAACTTCATGATACTGCCATATTCCAGTTTGACGTCATGTCTTTGTAGTTCAGAAAAGTGACTGCTTAGGATGTACTGTGATATTTTATGGGAAACCTTAACTTACCCACAATGCTTTATAATCCTTTAAAAAGTGAATAAAAATGAAAATAAACTTAAGTTGTCAAAACTAGTAAGGAAAACAAAAATCATGAACCTCAGGTATTGATTGCAATCAATGTGAAGCGAGAATGTTGGATATTTGACATCATAATGACAAGTGTAAAAGTAGGTCATAAGAAAAGTTTATGAGTAACTGTCATTTTAAGTATTTTTGCTAAATATTTTCCTAATTTTTTGACAAATACTGTGAAATATTATAAAATACTATTTGTAGGATGCATATAAAAGTTGACTAAACATGCATCAATGTTCTTATTTGATATATTTTACATTATAACCAGCTTTAAAATACTTTCAAGATGGTTAGAGCTCTCATAAAGTTACGATAAACTTTATGCTTAAGAATCTCTTAAGTACGAGGGTTGTTCGAAAAGTTCGTGGACGATGTCAATCCTCGTTATACTACTTTCAAGAAATTTTATATAAGCACATTATCATATGTAAAGATATTTATTTTGTTGATGTGTGAAGTTTCATTTCATTCGATTTAATAGAAATCAATTTACTTTATTTTAAAATCAGCATGTTTGGTAACCCCGGAGCAAACTAAACAACATTATAACGTCAAAAATATAGCGTCATGAGGTTCTCAAAATATTCCCCCTATACATTTCACACAGACTGGTCCAATATCTGCTCATTTAAAACGTGTCTCTATCAATTGAAATTCATTTTGTTAATAATTGTTCCAGTAGCATAATTTTGATTGTCAATGTTTTCTTTTTTTACCGCTTAACTATGCTTTCACAAGACCAGCAACCGTGAAACGCCTTTCTGTTTCCAAGACGTTACTAACTGAACGTTTTTGGTTTGATTCTTTACAGACAATCCATTTTCTCACAGATCGTCCTCGTCTGATAGAGAGTCTCTATCATTCAAATACCGCCAGGGCCATTTACACACTCATATGCATGACCCGCTTTTGAGATATTTCATGTTTCTTACAACATTTTCAGATTTTATTCTGACGTTTTCCAGAGTACAACAGAAAATCGTATCGTAAACTGCTGCTCCGTGACGTTCTACGACGTCACCTTTTTCGCCTTTTTCAATGAGAACTATCTATCTTCAGAAATTGATTTCTTTTCCATGAAGCAAACTATTAATTCATAATTTGGAATATGAAGCGATGTAACAATTCTTAATTTGATGATCTAGATTTATTTTGATTTTCAGCCATTTTACAGAGGATATGACTACAGAAATTAATTAGTGTAATGTTTGTAAATTGCTAAATTTTGACTTGCTCCGCGAACCAATTTTTGCAGATTTTAACTCCTAATAAGTTTGAAATAAATCGAGATGCTTTAAAATTTTTCAATACAAATCATTTGAATTTACTGTTAAAATATTTCTACCAAATTTGGATATAATATGACGTTAAATAAAAAAGATATGACAGAATGAAGTCCACGAACTTTCCGAACAACCCTCGTATTTTCATGAAAAGGAAGAAAATCTTTAATTTTCTTTTACAATGAAAATTAATTAATCTTATCAAAATATTTTGTGAAAAGGAACTGTAGGGAAGATAATTTTTGATAACATTTAACAGTGTTTTTTTTTCATTTCATTGTGGCAAAATCTTTAAAAAAGATATCCTTGTGTTACTAAGTATGGACCAAAGATAAATAATTGTTGGTTTTTATGATAGACCAAATGATTTCTGGCATATTTTGATAGGATTTATTTGAAGCCATGAAAATGAGCAAGAAGACACACATCCACAGTATTATAAAACAGGCTTGGCAGAGGTGAGGGAATTCAGCACATTTCATTTTTCACATTCATTTTTCTTGCTTCATAATGATATAAACCAATGATTTTTTTTTAAATGCAGGACTATTTGTCTTATATTTGCAGTCTTCAGTGTACAGTAAAACATGATTATAGTGAACATGCTTATAATGAATTTATGCTTAAAGCGAAGTGATTTTCATTCCAGTTTCAGTTTCATTTCAGTTTTGAATAGCATTATGAATTAAATGGCTATAACGAATTACATTTATAGCTAAGAAAATTGTCCATCCCTGGCACTTCACTATAAACCTGTTCTACTGTAATTTTCCTGACTATCTGATATATAACTTTAAGTATATGATTAGAGATACATGTATAATGGTCAGTTTGAGACCTGCTGGTCAGTATGTAGAAGACGAGAAGAGATTGTGAGTTGTGGTCTGTGTGAGTCCATTATATAGTGTTTTGAGTTTCTGTTTGTAGAAGATGAGAAGAGATTGTGAGTTGTGGTCTATTTGAGTCCTCTTTGTAGTGTTTTGAGTTTCTGTTTTAGAAGACAAGAGGAGATCGTGAGTTGTGGTCTGCTTGAGTCCTCAATGTAGTGTTTTGAGTTTGTGTTTGTAGAAGACGAGAAGAGATTGTGAGTTGTAGTCTGCTTGAGTCCTCTATGTAGTGTTTTGAGTTTCTGTTGTAGGAGACAAGAAGAGATTGTGAATCCAGGTCTGTTTGAGTCCTCTATGTAGTGTTTTGAGTTTCTGTTTGTAGGAGACAAGAAGAGATTGTGAGTTGTGGTCTGTTTGAGTCCTCTATGTAGTGTTTTGAGTTTCTGTTTGTAGGAGACAAGAGATTGTGAGTTGTGGTCTGTGTGAGTCCTCTGTGTAGTGTTTTGAGTTTCTGTTTGTAGGAGACAAGAAGAGATTGTGAGTCTGTGGTCTGTTTGGGTTTTCTATGTAGTGTTTTGAGTTTCTGTTTGTAGGAGACAAGAAGAGATTGTGAGTCCAGGTCTGTTTTGAGTCCTCTATGTAGTGTTTTGAGTTTCTGTTTGTAGGAGACAAGAAGAGGTTGTGAGTTCAGGTCAGTCTGAGTCTTCCATGTAGTGTTTTGAGTTTCTGTTTGTAGGAGACAAGAAGAGATTGTGAGTTGTGGTCTGTTTGAGACCTCAATGTAGTGTTTTGAGTTTCTGTTGTAGAAGACAAGAAGAGATTGTGAGTCTGTGGTCTGTTTGAGTCCTCTATGTAGTGTTTTGAGTTTCTGTTGTAGGAAACAAGAAGAGATTGTGAGTTGTGGTCTGCTTGAGTCCTCTATGTAGTGTTTTGAGTTTCTGTTTGTAGGAGACAAGAAGAGATTGTGAGTTGTGGTCTGTTTGAGTCCTCTATGTAGTGTTTTGAGTTTCTGTTTGTAGGAGACAAGAGATTGTGAGTTGTGGTCTGTGTGAGTCCTCTGTGTAGTGTTTTGAGTTTCTGTTTGTAGAAGATGAGAAGAGATTGTGAGTTGTGGTCTGCGTGAGTCCTCTATGTAGTGTTTTGAGTTTCTGTTTGTAGAGACAAGAAGAGATTGTGAGTCTGTGGTCTGTTTGAGTCCTCTTTGTAGTGTTTTTCTGTTTGTAGGAGACAAGAAGAGATTGTGAGTTGTGGTCTGTGTGAGTCCTCTATGTAGTGTTTTGACTTTGTGTTTGTAGAAGACGAGAAGAGATTGTGAGTTGTGGTCTGCATGAGTCCTCCATGTAGTGTTTTGAGTTTCTGTTTGTAGGAGACAAGAAGAGATTGTGAGTCTGTGGTCTGTCTGAGTCCTCTATGTAGTGTTTTGAGTTTCTGTTATAGGAAACAAGAAGAGATTGTGAGTTGTGGTCTGTGTGAGTCCTCTGTGTAGTGTTTTGAGTTTCTGTTTGTAGGAGACAAGAAGAGATTGTGAGTCTGTGGTCTGTTTGGGTTTTCTATGTAGTGTTTTGAGTTTCTGTTTGTAGGAGACAAGAAGAGATTGTGAGTCCAGGTCTGTTTTGAGTCCTCTATGTAGTGTTTTGAGTTTCTGTTTGTAGGAGACAAGAAGAGGTTGTGAGTTCAGGTCAGTCTGAGTCTTCCATGTAGTGTTTTGAGTTTCTGTTTGTAGGAGACAAGAAGAGATTGTGAGTTGTGGTCTGTTTGAGACCTCAATGTAGTGTTTTGAGTTTCTGTTGTAGAAGACAAGAAGAGATTGTGAGTCTGTGGTCTGTTTGAGTCCTCTATGTAGTGTTTTGAGTTTCTGTTGTAGGAAACAAGAAGAGATTGTGAGTTGTGGTCTGCTTGAGTCCTCTATGTAGTGTTTTGAGTTTCTGTTTGTAGGAGACAAGAAGAGATTGTGAGTTGTGGTCTGTTTGAGTCCTCTATGTAGTGTTTTGAGTTTCTGTTTGTAGGAGACAAGAGATTGTGAGTTGTGGTCTGTGTGAGTCCTCTGTGTAGTGTTTTGAGTTTCTGTTTGTAGAAGACGAGAAGAGATTGTGAGTTGTGGTCTGCGTGAGTCCTCTATGTAGTGTTTTGAGTTTCTGTTGTAGGAGACAAGAAGAGATTGTGAGTTCAGGTCTGTTTGAGTCCTGTATGTAGTGTTTTGAGTTTCTGTTTGTAGAGACAAGAAGAGATTGTGAGTCTGTGGTCTGTTTGAGTCCTCTATGTAGTGTTTTTCTGTTTGTAGGAGACAAGAAGAGATTGTGAGTTGTGGTCTGTGTGAGTCCTCTATGTAGTGTTTTGACTTTGTGTTTGTAGAAGACGAGAAGAGATTGTGAGTTGTGGTCTGCATGAGTCCTCCATGTAGTGTTTTGAGTTTCTGTTTGTAGGAGACAAGAAGAGATTGTGAGTTGTGGTCTGTTTGAGTTGTCTATGTAGTGTATTGAGTTTCTGTTGTAGGAGACAAGAAGAGATTGTGAGTTGTGGTCTGTTTGAGTCCTCTATGTAGTGTTTTGAGTTTGTGTTTGTAGAAGACGAGAAGAGATTGTGAGTTGTGGTCTGCGTGAGTCCTCTATGTAGTGTTTTGAGTTTCTGTTGTAGGAGACAAGAAGAGATTGTGAGTTGTAATCTGTTTGAGTCCTCTATGTAGTGTTTTGAGTTTGTGTTTGTAGAAGATGAGAAGAGATTGTGAGTTGTGGTCTGTTTGAGTCCTCTATGTAGTGTATTGAGTTTCTGTTTGTAGGAGACGAGAAGAGATTGCGAGTTGTGGTCTGTTTGAGTCCTCTATGTAGTGTTTTGACTTTGTGTTTGTAGAAGACGAGAAGAGATTGTGAGTTGTGGTCTGCATGAGTCTTCTATGTAGTGTTTTGAGTTTCTGTTTGTAGGAGACAAGAAGAGATTGTGAGATTGGTCTGTTTGAGTTGTCTGTGTAGTGTATTGAGTTTCTGTTGTAGGAGACAAGAAGAGATTGTGAGTCTGTGGTCTGTTTGAGTTGTCCATGTAGTGTGTTGAGTTTCTGTTGTAGGAGACAAGAAGAGTCTGTGAGTCCAGGTCTGTTTGGGTCCTCTATGTAGTGTTTGTTTTGAGTTTCTGTTTGTAGAATACAAGGAGAGATTGTGAGTGTGGTCTGTTTGAGTCCTCTGTGTACTGTTTTGAGTTTCTGTTGTAGGAAACAAGAAGAGATTGTGAGTCTAAGTCTGTTTGAGTTCCCTATGTAGTGTTTTGAGTTTGTGTTTGTAGGAGACAAGAAGAGATTGTGAGTCCAGGTCTGTTTGAATCCTGTATGTCAGGAAAGGCAGAGCAATTATACTGTTTGTTAGAAGAAGGGGATAACGTAGACCCAAAGGTATATTTCTAATTCTAGCATATGTAATAAAGTAACTAATATAGCAAATTTAAATAGAGGCACCAATAGTTCTTTCTACCCTAGTTTGGTTATAGGTTTATACTTCCTCCACTGATCTTAATTTTTGTTTCCATTTAGAGTGGTGTGGGAAATTGGCCATTGTTTTTAGCTGTTGAAAATGGACATTTAGAAATTGTTAGACTGCTGTGTCAGGTAAAGAAGATAGAATCTGTTTGTATGTCATCAATCCTCAATAAAAGTTCAGAATGAGATCCCTGGTGAAAATTAATATATTTTAATGGTCAAGGATATGGTTAAATTTATTGGATGTTTTGAAACACAAATATCCATTCATGAGCAAGACCCATTAACCTCCCTTCAGGCTACTTCAGAACAGTGCATGTTTGAAAATTACACAAAAAACTGAACAATCATTAATCTCTTACTCTACACATACACCCTCCACAGATTAGCTACTTTTTGACTAGATATGATTTCTACTCATTAATTTAAAAGTTACTTGCAAGATTGAAATTATTGAAAGAGAAGACCAAAACAAATCAAGAGAGAGACACACAGACTATAGAAAGCAATACACCTTTCAATCTTTGATCTCAAGGGGTATAAAATGAACAGTAATTGTTAGCCCCAAAAATGTAGAATTAAGATGATGAATTTAATCCAATAATAGAAAGGAGCTGACATTCGCAAGCGATACACCCCGAATGGATCCACCCTTCTACACACAGCAGCCTTAATGGGTCGTGTAGAGGTGATAGACTACCTTCTGGAGTTGTGTCGCCCCCTGAAGAAGAGCAGCGAGGAGTACAAGTTTGGTTACTTCCATCGGGGACTGGATATCAATGCAGTTAATAAGGAAAATAAAACTGCCCTCCAGGTGGCTGCTGAAAAAGGTACAAATTTTACAAAAAAAATGTAAAGATTCTTATAATAAAGCAATACTGTGTCAACTTGATATAAAGACTTTATCGATGTATTGTAAGTGAAAGTTGTTTCATTTGGGAGTGATAGCAAAGATTTAAAACAATAGCAAAGATACAAAGTATTATTTAAATAAGAATCTAGATTTAGATAGAAGACTAATTCTTTGGTTTTTTATTTCAGGATATTTAAAGATTGTTAAATCCCTTCTCTTACATGGAGCCACTACCTCCCTTTTGGATGCCAGTGGCACCCTTTTCTGTCTTTCTGAGTTTGGAGGAGTTTGGCAAGAAATCAGTGACCATAGACAAAGACATTCTAATCATATCTTTAATTTCATCACTCAGGACACCAAGAAAAACTTTGCGGCTCTCATGAAAATATGGCTGGTAAGTTTTCCCATAAAAACCTCTGTATTTTTTAAAACCTATTGCAAATAAAGCAATTTACAATTTCCTTTTACTGTGAAATCACTCATTTTCGTGGGGGTTTAATTTTCGTTGTTTTCGAAGTATAAAGAGACCCATTAATTCATGTCCACCACAAAATGTAAAATTTCATGTTTATAACTACTCAACAATTCTTCATCCACGAAAATCAAATCCCCACAAACTCGGTTTTTTTCCTCAAACCACGAAAATTTGACCCCATGAAAATATATGATTTTACAGTATCTAAAATTACTATTTAGGTGTGTCAAAGTTTATTTTGAGGCAAATAATTCTTTCATATGCCAAGACATAAAATGAATCCCATGATCTGCCGTAAATTAATCCTGTTTTTCTCAAAAGCCTGGATTTGATCACAATCTGCGAGACAAGGCGGGGAATACCCCATTGATGGTGGCTTGTCAAGTAGGAATACAGGAAATCATTGCCTTCCTTCTTCAATCTGCCGTTTACCCACAATCCTTAATGTTTGAAGATGATGATGCCATGTAAGTTATATGCCTTGTAATAACAATCAGACTGAGTGTAAGCATTTCAATTTCCTTTAATACACAGAGTATAGAAAAAATACAAAGTTTGTAAGACCCAAATTTGGTCCCTTATATACAGTGAAATCATTTTTTTTTCATGGGGGATTGCCAGATTCTTGGTGATTTATGGAAATATATTTATGAAGACAAACATTTATTTATAAAAGATAATTGAAGTACATATATTTTAATATTTTTCTGAGGCAGTACTTTTGTTGGAAATCCTTGAAAACTAAACCCTCTGTGAAAGTATGATTCCACAGAAACATTAACTTAAAAACATAGTAGACTGTGATACATTGTAATTAAGAACCTAAAATAAAGCTTACAACAAAACCAGTATTGATTTTAAGATTCTAAGAAGATGTACATCTGAAAATCTAAATAAGGTGAAATATATCAGTGACTCTGTGTGTTTCAAAAGCAATATATTCTTCAAAATTGAAAAAAAAAAGATTTAAAATAGAAAGTTCGCATACAATTGTATTTAAGAAGTTTCTGACCTTTGTGTTGTAACAGGAAGGGAAAAATGTCGGCCAGACTGGGACTTGAACCAGGGACCTCCCGCTAACTATGCGGGTGCTCTAACCACTGAGCTACCGGGCCGACATACCCAGTCCCCGTTACACTCTTCCCCCCTTTTTTTTGAGGTTTTCCATCCTGAAAACCTCATCGAGACTCTTTTAAACCACCCATGGGTTTTATTGTTGGGCGCCAAATGTAACAGGCGGGGAAAAATGTCGGCCAGACTGGGACTCGAACCCGGGACCTCCCGCTAACCGTGCGGGTGCTCTAACCACTGAGTTACCTGACCAACGTACCCAGTCCCTGATACAGTGTATACTATCTCTTGAAATCAATTCTAGTTTGACTGTGAACAATCATTATTCTGAGTGTCACACTATACTGGGACAAAGAAGGCTCTCCTTTACCTGATCAAAACATTCCATTCATTAAAGAAGAGTAGGGCAGAAATGTTTTTTATTAATATTCATTTTGAATATCAAAAATGTTTATAAATAAAAATACAAACATTTATCCTTTATGACCCTTGGATAATTTCCAGATAAGAATATATATGATAATTTGATTGGTTGTTTGATGACAGATCTATAATTTGATTGGTTGTTTGATGACAGATCTATAATTTGATTGGTTGTTTGATGACAGATCTACTTATGATGACAATGACTCTGGTGTCCAGGACACAGTCTCACCAACAGCCAATAAGAAACCTTACGCTTCTTACACAGACGGTATGATATCGATCTAACTAGGACCTGTAATATGTTGTTTTTTTCATTGATTATATGTTTAAAGAATTGTAAATGATTGGAAATATAAAAAATGTGTAATATTTGATAATTCATTGATAAGATGGTATATAAATGCACCTGCTTTCCATATGCCTTAAATATGTTTTCATTGCAGATGATTTACTGAGAAGTTTTGAATTCTCTCGTGACTATGGCAATGAAACTTTTGCCCACAGGTATGTAAATCAGTATGAATGATATCTGTTATGCATTAATGAAATTTAAGTTTAATCTTTGTCTTGTCAATTTTGAGATAGTGAGTTTTGACTGTATTTAGAGACAGTAAGCATAAAAGTGATGAATATGGGATGAGTTGAACATATACATGTATACTGTAAAACATATTCATGAAATTTCTTTTTTGCAATTCGTCAGTTTGAAATTCATTCTTGACTATTAAAATTTGTGACTAATGAAACATTATGTATGTATATAGATACACAAAAGGATTTCAAGTAAAAGAAGGTTCCAAAACTCACAGATACTTCTTGCATGCAATTATGAGGGCTGTTAAAAGAATATGCAGACTCTGCTTTTATTTATTTTTACTGACGTCGAATAGTGATGAAATTTTACAGAAATATATTTCTTTAAGATTTCAGTGAAATTTTTGGAATTTTTTTTATATAATTAATTTCTCATAAAAAATATTTCTGTTTTTATATTGCCGATGGTGATGTATGGAGGATGACAAAAAGTTTGAAAAATGAAATTACACAGAATCTGAATTTTTATTCATTTACTTTGTATAATTCACGAGATAATTCAACAATTTTTCCGAAAGGCTCTTTTCTTTGTTATATTATTGTCCATTTAGATTTCTGACCTAAAATTTGAAGTACATGTACTTACAAAAATATTTTAATTTTTCTCTGATACTGAAAATATGATGTGAAAATATGATTTGACAGAGTGGAGCACTTTTATCAAAGTATGTGTTGTGTTTCAGGAAAATGCCCAATAGAAACATCAAACAAAATGATAAATACTCTGAGAAAATGAGCACAATTTACTTTTACTGACTTCACGATAGGTCTTAAGTAAACTTTCAAAATTGATATCAATTTACAACATTTTTAATAAAATAAAATTCTGTTGTCCACAGTATCAAAGATTCTTTTATAATTTGTGTGTCTTTTGTATGTTTTTGTCACCAAATACTGTACATGTACATAAATTGACGTATTCAAAATTTAGCGCAATCACTGGGAACTGAGTGGTTGGCTTAATCATTAACTAGCGCTACACGTGTCTGTGTCGTGTATTGTATTTATAAATGAATTATTAACGGTATTCATGAATTAGCGCGTTGTTGTTCGAGCCAAAAAGGCTTAAATATGAAGCCTGCTTTTTTAAGTACACATACAGTATTTTTTCTGTGTAGCAAGTCTGTGTAATTTTTGAACAGCCCTTGTAAAAGTTGGTTTACAGCATTTAGTTAAGCACCCTGTATATGACTGAATATGTTTCAGACTAGACCATGACTTGTCATCAAGTCGCCTAGAAACACTACTAAATGATGTAGAAAAACCTAAAGGACTTTCTATCATTCATGGTTAGTGCTTATATTTTTATTAGAAAAGGAATTGTTAAGAAATTGAAAATAACATTGAAATACTAGTTCATGTACAGGAATATAAAATATTGTTTCATACTGTAACATTATATTTTAAAATAATGCTCAAAGTTTAAAAAAAAATTGATCTACATGGATTCTGATTTAAGATAATTAGATCATAATCTTTGTTGTTACATTTTTCTCTTTGCATGGATTGGTTTCATTATAGATGGACTCGTAAGTCATGTGTGTGCAGTGAATCCCAATAATGGTTGTACTGCTCTTCATCTGACACTTGAGAAGGGAGATAACTCAAAGATTGTCTCCCTTTTGTTGGAAGCTGATTCCTGCTGTGTAAACATCCAAGACAACAAGGGTTTGAGTCCTCTCCATTACGCCTGTAAACTTAAAAGGAAGAAATGTGTGGAAGTTCTTTTGGTAAGTGGAAAACAAACCATTATAATTGTCTTTAATTTGAGGGATAAGAAAGTTCATTTCAGTTTAGTTCTTGTGTGTTTTGCCATCTAGGAATATATTTTAGAATAAGTATTGTATAAAAGATTATGTTTACACATAATTTTTTTTTGGCACTGTCACACTAAAACAATTTTTCCCTGATTCAAATTCACCCAGAGATGGTTGTGTTCAAAGTAATAACTCTGTCTTTGTTGAATTCTCCCCATTTTAAATTTGCCCACTTGTGACAAGAGAAAGGGGCAAAAATAAATGTGGACAAAAATTTCCAGTATATAGTAATCATTTAAATAAAATACTTTGAAAAGATTGTAAAGACAGTCAGTAGGGCTGAAATTAAATTTTGAAATGTTTGTCAGCAGATGAAAGGCTGTGTTGCTTTAAAAAGGTTAACCGTGTTTTTGAACTTTGTTGTTTATATTTGATTGCAAATTATAATCAAGGAAATGAACTTGTGGAGTTAACTTACCGGTACACTAAATACATGAAAAGAAGTTTTCTGAATTTATATGCCCCATTGCATACAAATGCCCCATAATGTATTTTTAGCATTGATAATTTTTATGCTTGTTTCCCAGTAATAACTCTCATGTTAAAGATTCTGCTTTTGATCTGCTTACTGTGGAATCATGGGCAATTAATGCTTGTGAAATTTGTGTGTCAATCTTGCCCACAAAGTTACATCTCCATGAACATAACTTTATGTAAATATTTGTTCATTGAATTTTCTTAAGTACAAGTTATTCTCAAAAATCTGCCCCCACAATTCATAAAAATGTAGATTGCCCACCAAAATAAAATCATAGGAATTAAAATGATTCCACTGTAATTAACAAAATCTGTTAAATCTCCATGATTATGCTATTAGAAAAAATTTTCAGAGTGTCGATGAGATAGACGTCAATCTACTTTCATTGAATGGAGGTCTGGCAGAGGACATGACTACAGATAAATCTATCATTAAACTGATCCATCATCACAGGAAGGGACAGCCTGTCAGGTAAGTCTATCATCAAACTGATCCACCATCACAGGAAGGGACAGCCTGTCAGGTCAATCTATCATCAAACTGATCCACCATCACAGGAAGGGACAGTCTGTCAGATAAATCTATCATCAAACTGATCCACCATCACAGGAAGGGACAGTCTCTCAGATAAATCTATCATCAAACTGATCCATCATCACAGGAAGGGACAGCCTGTCAGGTAAGTCTATCATCAAACTGATCCACCATCACAGGAAGGGACAGTCTGTCTGGTAAATCTATCATCAAACTGATCCACCATCACAGGAAGGGACAGTCTGTCAGATAAATCTATCATCAAACTGATCCACCATCACAGGAAGGGACAGTCTGTCAGGTCAATCTATCATCAAACAGATCCACCGTCACAGGAAGGGACAGTCTGTCAGGTCTAGCACTCATAAAATAATGCTGTTTTGCTAGATGAACAGACTCAGACTCAAAAAAGTTTTTATAGTCTTCTTAGCAGAGCAGAGCAGACATCCCTATGTACATGTACATGTGTGTAGGCTATCAAACAATTTTATAGAATGTGCTTGTGTCATCCAAGTGTAGGAAACATGTTTTGGTCATCATAATGTCAGCTCATTTTGGAATATAATATAAACAGCATAATTTTGTTCAATTCCATCCTTTTTTTGTTCGAGATTGACTATTTATTCCATATATCTTGAAGAGCTGTGAAATTTACTTAAAGGACTTATCGCATGTTTCTAAATTATTTGAAATTAAAAGCGTATTACGTTCCTTATGACCACTATTTATAAATTCTGTGTTTTTACTGTGGATAAATCGCGGTAATTAACCAATTATTGACTCAAATGAAAACCCCTGAATTAAAAATCTAAGTTAATTAGATAGCGATCACGTGACCCTGTGACGTCAAAGGCGACAATGGCTGATCAGCTCTTCATTAATCTTACTGAAATATACGCGATACAACCTGAATTTTCTGCGTTGTGGACGACCAAATCACTTATTTTATCGATATAAATTGAATATTCAACCTTATATGCTAGAATTGTCAGCAAGAAAAAATCTGAAAAATCTGTTAACATTGTAAAAATAGCAGCGACGATAGCGAGGGAGATGCAGCGAAGACGAAGAAACTCGCCATAACAATGCAGTTTGATTTGTCATCTTATCACATGGTTCACAAATTAAACATTATATAACTTTGTTATTCTTCGTTTTGTATATAACATTAATTTATGCAAGTCTTCATATGTTTTTTAAAGGATGGCGATCTTGAAAAGTAAATTCCCGATCACGAAACATTGCCGTAATTAGAGCTACAGGTTCTAAATATTTTGAATAAAAAACGAAAATATCTTAAAAGCCTTATACCTTAGAACTAATTAATGTTCTATAGTAATTGAAAAGCATATAAGGAATTCATTTTTTCAGCATTTTTCGTAATTAAGCTGCATTTGTCGTTGATAACTCCGTAAATAGTGTGCATGTTCTCATCTCTCTATCACCGAATTGTCGCCTATGACGTCAGAGCAGTATTTCGCCGAAATCCAACTGAAATATGCATATTGCCGTATTTGAATTTCAGCTCTCCATATCTCTTAAAATATGCTTTCAACAACGTTTATTGTATTCAGTATTTTAATAAATAAGGTTATAGATAATATTTTTCATAAAATTACGATTTTTGAAAGATCATGCGATAAGTCCTTTAAAGATGTCTACAAGTGTCTTTCTGAATTAATCTGTATGATGAATAATAGACATGTTTTAATTGATCTTTACAGACAAAGGATGGAACCAAGAGGGATTGCGCCATCATCAGTCTCGGACTTCTGCCTCAGGTCAACACCTAGCACACAGATGGCTTCCACAGTTAACTTCGAGAAAATTCAAGGAAGATTTGAAGCTTTGAAAAGGCAGAAAAAAGATTAAACAGTGGAAGTGATTCTTTCAGTAGTTTTTATTACAAGGGATTTTAATTTGTCCTGTCACATTTTTAAATGGTAAGAGTACAATGCTGCAGAGTAGTTATATGGTGAAGTTTAATTATTATAATTTTTTTAATTTTTGGTACAAAAATTAAACTTTTACACTTGGAAAATTCCACTTATTGTATTTTTCATGAATTATAGAATTCCAAGCATAAAGCATAACGTGTTACTGATATTCCTTAATATATTTGATCAAAATGAAGAATATTTCACAAACAGCCATAAGGTTGGAGGTTTCATATGGTACAAGTGTTAATTTTTTAGATGTAAGGCTCATTATGAGGGGTGTTTACTTGTAATAAGAGATCGATAAACACGTCTGTATGGTTGTACATAGCACATGTACTAAAGGAAAAAAAGTTGTTATTAATTGATTGTGTTCAGTTCATAGTTGAGGATAGTCTTTAACTTAACAAAGAACTCAGATGTGAATTCATTGAAATTTAATAGACCACTGTACTATATCATTTGCCAGTAGCTGTATTTACAATAGAAAAACAACAGCGACAGAATAAGTGCTTTTGTTATACAATGTGGGGTTGATGTCCTTACAGACACATAAACTGATCTATAGCTAATAAATCAATTGTTGATTAACCTTTAGTTAATTAACCCATTGGACACTGGTTGCAGTGTATAAGTTGTCACAAACTTTCTGTTGTTGACCATTTCAAATGAAATGGTTAATAATTTTTGCATTTATTTCATAAGAGAAAAAAAATCTGCAAAATCATAGATCATGTCACTTTGAAATAAAAACTTCCTTGAAATAATGACTGGTACAATTTTGAGGTGCTAACAGTTTTTCTGATTTTTTTTATAATGTGTATTTATGTATTTCAAATTGAATAAATACTCTCATGTTGTAATAATATTTTGTATTTGCTGCACCAGATAGCAGATATTAAGACTTAAAGGTTGTTTGAAGCTTGAGATATTGATGTACAAAGTGAATTCATTTTCTTATATGAAGGTCAGTACCTAATATTTGAATGCTTAATAGTGTCAATTAATTATTACTATTTGTAAAACATTTGTTCAATGAAGGTCAGTATCCAATTAAAATGTACATGTGTTATCAATGAATTATTGCTATGCAATATTAATTTATCCATAGAAATGCCTGGTGTATTTGTTAATATCAGGTTTTTTGACACTTTAGATTTTTAAATATACATAAGGAATTTATTATCGCATAATTTTGTAAGAAGCACCGCTCACAAACATAGGTGCTTAGATTTAAATCTACATGTATATGAATTTGTATGTACATTTATATGTATATTAGGTATCATATGAATTCATATAGATTAAAACCAAAGGCCAAGCACCTGTGCTCACAAATAAAAAATATAAATACTCTTTATCGTTATATTGCTGAAATATATCTAAACGCTCAATCAGTGTTCCACTCGCCAATTCGTGTTCTCACAATTTGACGTCTACCGTCATTTTGTGATATTAAGTACTTGCATAAAACAAAGAATCTAACATTACTGTATGATAGTCCGAACACTGTATGAAGAAATTGATACATTCACTGAATATTTTCTCCTTTATATGAAATCCATTTCCCTTAATTAATCCATTAACTCTGAACTAGTCTAGTTAGAGATGACCATTTGATGGGGGGGGGGGGGGGGCAAATTTTGATGAGTCAGATTATTTATTTCATACCTCCTGCCCTAACGGGACAGAATCAGAATCAGAAATTTTTATTTAAAGTCGGATTTTTTTAACAAATAACTTTATTTTATTTCCAAGATGACCATCTAATTATGACATTATTATAATAATGACCCCTTAGAAACGTTTTTTTTAAAGTCATCAGTATGAAAGCTTTCCTGAGCAGTAGGCTCTTCCATCACTGAAACATACCTTGATATACCTACATTGCTACTGCTTAATAAAATTGGGAAATATGTGCAGAAATTTAGGATCTCAGTCATATATGAACTGATTTTGGCAAATTTCATAGTCTTATACTAATACATGTAATATACTTGTTGAAGTTGTAGTTATTTGCCTGTGAAAATTTTGAAAAGTGCTGAATTTTTAATGACAATAATGCCAATTGATAATTTATTGTTTATATTTAAAATTCAATTTAAACTTTTATTGTTGTTTTTTTCCTAAGTTTATGTAAAGTTTAACTTATTTAATATTTTGTTGATATTCATGTTCATTATTATTTTATATATATTCATAAGTGATTTCAGGTGTGCACATAATATTATACATATGTAGATGTATAAGTATTCATGTGTACAATTTATATGATGATTTTAATGATGTGTGCAATGTTGAAAAGTACATACATATATTGTGATTGTTGAAGTTTCTGAATCAATAAATTCATAATGATATTTGTTGTCATCAGTATTTTATAGTTGACCCAAAACTTTTTGCTTGAATGTTTGAAATATTAATTTTTTTTTTTAAATGTAACTATCTTAAGGAAGGGCAGAATTAAATTTCTTCAAAATATGGTGCAGGAAGTGTAGGGCTGGAACAATGTTTTACTTTGGAATATATGAGAAAATTAAAAAAAAAACTTCTCAACACAGATTAATATGAAAGTCTACTGCAGATCCATTTCCCCCCCAAATTTTGGCCTCTGGGGCTAGGTTAAGTCTTAAAAATTGCATAAGAATTATTTTTAAAAAAAATGAGAAAAGCAGGGCAATACAAAATCATCATTATAAGTAAACATCCCCTTGTTTTGTTGATTTATGTTTGTTCAAATTCTGGACATTAGAGTTGGGTGAGGCTAAAAGATGACATGTAACATATGTATAGGAAAATAGAAATAGAAAAATCTTGAACTAAAAAAAGCAAGAGGCCCAAGGGCCTTAACGGTCACCTGAGTACAATAATTTAGAGGATCCATAAACTGATAAATGAAGCTTTGTTGCCCAATAGCATAAAAAATAGTACGATTAAGACGAACAAAATAATTAGTCTAGTATCTTTCTATCTGTTGTCCCCCATTTATCACTTTTACCATGCCAACTTTTAACAAAATGTCTATATTATTACCTTTCACATTGGCCTCACTTGGTATTTGAAGAACATTTAAAAAGAGAAGTTATTTTTGTTTCATTTTTATTCATCTATTATTTCCAAGTCTACCTGATTATTAAAACTATGAAAGTACTTTTTGTATTATACAATAAATGTTCTTGCATAATTCTCTTATTCTATTAACCTTTCAAATACATTATCTACAGTGATTAATTATCAAAGGTGAATGGCAAAGGGGAATAACTTCAATCAGTAGAATACAAATTAATAGAGCCCTGGCCAGGACCAGAACAGTGAACTCCCTCAAAATTCTGGTAAAAATACCCTTGCTTATTAAAACTTTTACTCTGTTTGCTTCTAATATGCCCAGGAGCAGAGGAGATTTTCAAAGAAATAATGCATTTTCACTATTTAACACAGCCCTACCCTAACACCAGAACCCATGATCTAGGGTCATGAAAATTTACAAAGTTGGAAGAGGTACCCTCATCATCATAAATACGCAATTAGTTGAAAATTTTCAAAGAATTCACACATTTTCACTATATAATCAAATAGAGCCCCCCCCCCCTCAGAGAAACAACAGAACCCCTGGGACCACAAGTTTTAAAAATTTTGTAAAAGCATCCTTGCTCATCATAACTATACACTTGTTTCTTTGCTTTATAACGAGGAGTAGAAAAAAATATTTTGAAAGAAATTATGAATTTTCACTATATAATCAATAGAGCCCCCTCCCTTTCACCAGAACCCCTGACCCAGGGGCCCTGAAATTCATAATTTTGGAAGAGGCAGCCATGCTCATCATAAATATGTACTTAGTTAGTTTATTTCCTACCCAGGCGCAGAGAAGAAGATTTTCAAAGATTTAATGCATTTTCACTATATAATCAATAGAGCCCCACCCTAACACCAGAACCCCTGACCCTGGGGCCATGAAATTCACAATTTTGGAAGAGGCACTCTTACTCATCATAACTATATACTTAGTTCATTTCATTCCCAGGAGCAGAGAAGAAGATTTTCAAAGAAATAATGCATTTTCAATACATAATCAATAAAGCCCCGCCCTAACACCAGAACCCCTGACCCAGGGGCCATGAAATTCACAATTTTGGAAGAGGCAGCCATGCTTTTATTATATCTATGTACTTAGTTAGTTTATTTAATACCCAGGATCAGAGAAGAAGATTTTCAAAGATTGAATGCATTTTCACTATATAATCAATAAAGCCCCGCCCTAACACCAGAAACCCTTACCTAGGGGTCATGAAATTCACAATTTCTTTAGAGACACTCTTGCTCATGATAACTATGTACTTAGTTAGTTTATTTCATGCCCAGGCGCAGAGAAGAAGATTTTCAAAGATTTAATGCATTTTCACTATAAAATCAATAGAGCCCCCTCCCCCCCTTACACCAGAACCCCTGACCCTGGGGCCATGAAATTCACAATTTTGGTAGAGGCACTCTTGCTCATCATAACTATGTACTTGGTTAGTTTATTTCATACCCAGGAGCAGAGAAGAAGATTTTCAAAGATTTAATGCATTTTCAATATATAATCAATAAAGCCCCGCCCTAACACCAGAACCCCTGACCCAGGGGCCATGAAATTCACAATTTTGGAAGAGGCAGTCTTGCTCAACATAACTTTGTACTTAGTTAGTTTATTTAATACCCAGGATCAGAGAAGAAGATTTTCAAAGATTTAATGCATTTTCACTATATAATCAATAGAGCCCCGCCCTAACACCAGAACCCCTGACCCTCGGGCCATGAAATTCACAATTTTGGTAGAGGGCTTAATCCTTATTACAACCATGCCAACAGTTTGACTGCTTGATGTCCAGGAGTAAAGAAGAAGATTTTTAAAGATTGCATTAATTTTGGTGGTTTTAGCCCCACCCCTCAGGCCCCAGGGGGGCAAGGACCATGAAATTCACAATTTTTGTTCCCCTTTACCCATAGGTGCTATATGATAAAATTGGTTGAAATTGGTTGAGTGGTTTCAGAGAAGAAGCTAAAAATGTTCAAATGTTAACGCACGACGAACGACGCACGCCGACGGACAAAAACGGATAGCAATAGGTCACCTGAGTGACTCAGGTGACCTAAAAATCCCAAGAACAGGACGCCACACTCATTGATATTCATAATCCCTATGTAGTGTTGATTTAAGGAAGCTCTGAGCACTGCTCACTGAAGAGTTTTAATTCCATTGTAATTTTATGCAGTTAGAGTGATCTGCCCTTTGATGTAAACTGGATTAAAAGAAATTCCCTAGTATGCTCCAGAGTTCCCTACCAAGGAAATATCTCAAATGAATCCCTACCAAGGAAACATCTCAAATGAATCAACACCAAGGGAATATCTCAATTGAATCCCTACCAAGGGAATATCTCAAATGTATCCCTATATCAAGGGAATATATCAAATGTATCAACACCAAGGGAATATCTCAAATGAATCCCTACCAAGGGAATATCTCAAATGAATCCCTACCAAGGGAATATCTCAAATGTATCAACACCAAGGGAATATCTCAAATGAATCCTTACCAAGGGAATATCTCATATGAATCCCTACCAAGGGAATATCTCAAATGAATCCCTACCAAGGGAATATCTCATATGAATCCCTACCAAGGGAATATCTCAAATGAATCCCTACCAAGGGAATATCTCAAATGAATCCCTACCAAGGGAATATCTCAAATGTATCAACACCAAGGGAATATCTCAAATGAATCCCTACCAAGGGAATATCTCAAATGAATCCCTACCAAGGGAATATCTCAAATGTATCCCTATACCAAGGGAATATCTCAAATGAATCCTTACCAAGGGAATATCTCAAATGAATCCCTACCAAGGGAATATCTCAAATGAATACATGTAGAAAAAAACTGAGGGATCAAATAAAATCATTAAAATCATCTTTTGAAGAACAGCAGGCTATATACAATTGACAAACTAATATTCAGATATTCCTATTTTTATGGAATATATATTCAAATTTCTTCAACCCCCCCCCCCCCCCACCACCACCACCACCACCACCCCTCACTGAAGTATGTGGTGAGTTTTATATGGGAATAAATGTACTAGTACTTAGGAAAAATCGTTAATTTTTTTCTCTCAAGAAGACTGCAGGGCTACTAATCTTATTATTCCAAATCCCTGTAAAGTGCAGAATTCCTGGTCTCCAGTGCAAGGAAAGGGCCACAGTAGGTTTTGGTTTACAAAGATTATTGAGGGCAGAATCTTTTTAAAATTCTTTTCTAAAAAACAGGGTCTCAATAAAATGATGCATGTTAAACACACACACGCACACCCTCTCTCTCTCACACACACACACACACACACATGATATGTTGTGGACTTTGGTTTCTGTTAGAATTCATTTATAGAAACCCAAGCATGAAACACGATATATCATGGGTATGAATTGTTATTCGGTTTTCATGGGTAACTTGATACCAACAAAGTCGTGCTACTTATATATGCAAGTACTTGAGTGGTATTAAACAGGTGGAAATACCCACAATATTAAATTACAGGTAGAAAATGTCATTTAATATAATAAAACTAGAT